TGAAGCTGGCTCTAATCCAGAGTGGTTTGGACAGTTGCATAGCAATAGTGAGAGCATACACAGAGGTATCCGTGGAAGAGCGTTACATCACCGACGAGGAGATCAGCCAGTTAATGAAGGCGCATAACATGAAGGCACGGGCAGATGAGATTGTCAATGAAGGCCATTTCGTGCGCCTTGTTGTGATGAAACCATGATTCTGGTTACTGCTGTTGGCAGTTTGGGTGCTAAAGTGCGGAAGCAAGTAGTAGAGGAGCAGCGGATTCTATACCGGGTTAGCAGATTCTGACACGGAAAGGATAAACCGTACCCTTCCAAAACACAAAGCTATAAAATCAAGATCATCTCCGTGACCGCGCATGCAGCCACAGGAAACACAAGCTTGTCGCCAAAGAAATCGCGGCTAAAACACTGGGGGAGGGAAAAAGACCCTAATGCCATCATTATGTGTGGCACGTGTTGTGAGTTGCCTTTGAAGTGAAACACATGTCAGCGCTTTCTAAGTTCAGCCGGTCCCATAGCTCAGTTGGTAAGAGCATTGCTCATGACAAGCAAGATCCCTGGTTCGAGTCCTGATGGGTGTGGCGTTTTTTTCTCTTTTCAGGCCGTGCACTTCTCCGACTGATCCATTGAAGAGCATTACATATAATTATATTGATGTATTGACAATTAAGAGCACTCACTGCCTAGGCGAATACAATAATCATCCACTGGTGGTCCCTAACAGCCAGGAAAAAGGTGAAGATAGCAAAATGCAAGTGATCTTACAACAGATGGTTTTTTATTAAACAAAAAACAACAGGTGTGATTGAAATACTACAGTATGATACCCACTCGAACATTCGTAAATGTTCACATTTTTTAGGCTTTTCTACGGCTCCGTTGTTCCGACCATGTGCAGTTGTCTGGTGTACTGCTGCTTTCGCCACTGGTTCAAGGCATATTGTGACTAGGCACCGGCGGATTATGCCGGCATAATTATTGGCATAATTTGGAGGTTGAAAATTTGGAGCATAATGAGGCATCCTTTCGGAGGTAGGAGCATAACTACATGGTTGTACCACAATTCCATTATGTAAGCTACACAATTGTGCACAATGCAGCTGATCACTGCTGGTGGTCCGCATGGTAAAGCCGGTTCCGGGAGTAGCCCGTTTCCAAAGATGCTGGCCACTTTTTCGCAACTTTCCGTTGTTTTGCAAGAAATCGCAATTTTCTTCATTTTCACAAACTACTTCGCAACTTTTCCGAAAAGGTGTGCAGAGAAGCGCGCTGGATCGAGAGTCTTTCGAGACCATCGACTGTGCAGGCTATGGTTATTGTTATAATAAGTAAAAAACGAGGTATAGGTGATGTTCGGTCATGGTGGAAGGAGAGGTGGAGCTACGGGAGAGATGAGCTGAGTTTTCGCAGGGTGAGGGTGACATCGGTTGGACGAGTATGACGATTACGAAGACAGTTGAACATGATAATTTTCAAAGGTAACTCAAACTAATTTAGCAATGAAAAATTCTTTTTACAAAAGAAATCAACTAATGAATAGAAGGAGTCATGTTTTCTCTTTCCATGTTGATCTCTATTATCAAGAGTACTCTTGCTAATATGCATGGTCATCTTGGTATGGGGATATTCATGTATTTTGTTGTACTAATGGCCACAAAGTACAGGCAGGCACAGTGGGTTGGTCTAAGACCATGATTAATGAACGAGAGGTACCAGGTTCAAGTCCTGCTTGGAAGCGGAAGGATTTTTCCAACCGTGCTGCGACCCACAGTTAATTGGGAACTCGTGGCCTGGCATGAGTAAATCATGGATGTGGCAAATGGGATTTAGGCCTTTGGCCTATGGTTGGTGGATCTGATCTATCCTCCCCCACCGTTTAGGAGCCGCATCTGACGCCTGATCATGGGGTGGTGGCGTCCCACGGAAGCGGAAAGGTGGTTCTTGACCAGGGAGTTGTACGACTCCTTGTTCTTGACCTGCCCGGTACGCGAACCCGTCGAATTTATTTTTATTTTATTTTTTAATGGCCACTTGCAAGTACGAAAAGGCACAATTTTCCGAACTTTGAGGCTCCATAAGTACAACAAAGTGAGTATGTATCCCTGCGTGCCAAAGCATATTATGAGGATTTCGCGAGCATAATGCGAGAATCCATGAAAGCATAATTCAATGATTTCGCGAGCATAATCCGCCGGAGCATAATTGTGACCCATTCCGTTTTCGAGATATTGACTTTCATATCCCACATGTCTCCAGTGTTGTGCAGAAGGCGTCATCAGCCAGCTGTGGCGCCATGGGCGATCTCTGCCCACAAGAGCCTGCAGACTTTGGTACATTGGCATTGTGCAAGCATGACTAACGTACGCGTCCAATGCATTCTTCCCGTCGCTGACACAGCAGCTGCAGAGTCGTTTAATCAAATCCAGCAAATCCGGAATTCGTGCAATTTTCTGACTCTCCAGCCGTGCATCCACAGCCCCCCTCCTCGTGAGCTTATCTATTCGATCCCTAACTCACATTTTTCACTACAAGGTTTTGGTTTTTGTTTTCCGTTGCCTACATGATCTTGCAAGTCTTCTTTTCTGCACCTACTTTCAGTTGTCGTTGTAGAAGTTTATTTAACGTCGCACCACAAACAGGCGATTTCGCCTCCTTTGATACATGTGGACGACAGAAGGAATGAGAGAGAGGGGGGCAGAAGTACGGAGAGAGGAAGGGTAGGAATAAATAAGCAAATCAACCTCAGGGCTACACAAAAGCAAAAATGGAATGGGAATATACTATATACAACATAGCTTCATACATATGTTGCAAAACACGTTTACTATTCTTCAGTCCGCTATACCACAGAAACACACTAGCCGAAAAGCATTTAAACCGAGCCATGATGCGCTTTTAGCAGGGCACAGAACTGAAGGTGGCTGGGCTCGGAACGGAGATCAGGCGGGAGCTGGTTCCACAGGACTGCGCCGATGAGCTGCATGGTCGCTCGACCCGCAGGACCGGGCCAAAATGGTACTCGAACGAGGTGATGTGCTGCTCTCCGAGTGCAGTCACCAGTAACTCTCACGAAAAAGCTGACGGCTAATACAGGCCAAGCATCCCGGGATGATCGCCGAATTTCTCGAGGACAGGAACAGCGGCTACTGCAAGTTCCTTTCTTCCTGGACCTTCCGGTCGGCAGTCATTGACATTTGTGGGAAGCATTTTTTGGAATGCCCTTCCCAGTGATATTTGCCTCCACCGTGCGGTCTTTGCCTTTAAACTAGCTCTGAACAGAATAAAAAAATAATAATAATAATCGCGCTCCTCCCTTGCTCGGCACCCCTACACATTACTGCATGTTTTCTCTGTGTGTTCTTCACTGCATGCTTACACATACACACGCCCATTTGAAGTATATACATACTTTGTGCTTTGGAATTATCATGTTATGATTCTTTTTAAGGTGGCAGACTACCCAAAAATTCGCTGAAAAATCGAATTTGTAAATTCATATTGAGTGCTACGTCAGTTGAAAGAGCATGAATAGCTGCAAATTCTCTGAAAATTGTGTCCCGATCTGACCGGCCGTTCAAGAGTTATGGCCGAAAATGTGCCCTTGCAAGGAAAGATTTTTTTGTTGCACGCTGTCATTTCTTGGCAGCACTGTATTTGAATGTGAGCAGACCGTGCGCAACTTGTCGTATCATGGAAACACGTGAAAGTGTGCAGAATTTTGCCCCAAGTCCAAAAAATCAGGTTTTTGAGCCACGTATTGGGCTGCACGGCGGCGGGCAAAGCCCGCCGCCGTGCAGCAGGACTTTTGCCAGCTCTCTCGTAACGTTGCAGATATGTGGCTTGATTATTGTAGTTGACGTTGATTTAGTGACTTTGGCAAGTTTGAGTCGTGTCAAGAAGTCAGGTAGGATTCAGTACTAGGCAGTAGTGAAACGTGAGTGGTAGTCTTTGCCGGTTTCTGAGGGTATCCTGGATTTGGTATGCAGCGCTGTGGAAATGGCTTGCTGTGAAGGTCCCAGCACTGGATGTTGTATCAAAGGTACGACCTCTTAGCACGTGCTAAACCTAAAAGAATTCAAAAATTGACTTGGGTCTGTGGGAGTGTGTGAGGGAACGCCCACTCGTTCCGTTGTGACAGATTCCAGGGCCTCGTTGAGGGGCCCTACCCCATCACCCATGGCTGCTTCTGGACTTGTTCTAGGTTTGGGTCCCGCGCACGAACAGAATGAGCACGAAAATGTGAAAAAATTGTAAATGCATTTGTTTGGCTCCTGGGTGGCTCGCACACCGTGGCACTATGCCGGAAAGTTTTTCCGGCCTGGAAAGCCTGTCAGTGAGGCGCAAGAACTTGTAAATCATGTCCTGAGGGCCAGCATAGTGGCAGGAGTGTGTGGTCAAAATTTCACTCAAATCCACTGAGAAACACCAAAGTTACGGTCAATTGAATGCCATATGAAATTTATGGGTAGGCTGCCCCCTTAATATTTCCTTCTCTCATAATATTATATTCGTTCTTAGCAGGAACCGGAGGTTTTTCCTCTGGTGAGAAGGCAGAACTGCGGCTCTAAACGAATTCAAATGAAAGAAAGAAAGAAACAAACAAACATGTCGAGGATGGCCTCTGCAACTGCTAGAAGCTAAGGTAGATATGTGTGGGACGTTGAAAATAATGAAATCAGCGTCGTCTGCATGCGCGTACACTGAGTCTGTTCCAATGGTAGTTGCGCATCGGCAACTGGTCTCAGTGGCAGCACAGTACCGGTCGAAGATCACGTACTGTGACGTAGTGCAGCTTCGACATAGACATACAGCCACAGTACACAAACCCAACTGGCACTGGTCACACAGTGAGTGGCTGAGTGAGGATCTCTTTGCGTAGAACTAGAGTTTTTGATTGTAATCGGTCTGGCTCCTGTGGGATTGTAAGAAGTAAATGATCAGTACAGCCTTGACAGGAGCAAGCAGAATCTGATCTTTGGCATGCAGATAGATTAGTCATGGAGAAAACTGAACAGGCGCACCAAATGGCCAGTTTGTATGACGCTCATTGCAGTGTTCAGTGTGAGCGTGGGCGAACCTTGGTTACCAATCATCTTCGCCCATTTCCTGGTCAAAGGGTTCTGGATTTGGGCTGCGGCACCGGGAGATTGGCCAGAGAAATCGGGTGTGCTGTTGGAAAGCAGGGAAGCGTCCTGGGTGTCGACCCTAATGCTGCCAGAGTAGCCTTAGCGAAGGAACAGGAAGCAAAGTGCTCTGAGTCGGATCATCGTAACGTGGCGTTCATGACTGGTCTTGTTCATGATGCAGAGCAGCACGGACCGTTTGATGCTGTGTTCTCCAACTATGTGCTTCACTGGGTACCCGAAGAAGACATTGATGCTACCATGGTCGGTATCGCCAAATGTCTGAAGCCTGGAGGTCGTCTTTGCGCTTCGCTAACTGGCCATACAGGTCACTGCGCCAATGATCTTTCACTACTTACAACAGGTCAAACAGAAGAAGCCGTTACTGGTATGCACTTTCGCTCGCTCCAGTACTGGACAGGCAAGTTGACTGAGGCCGGTTTACAGATAGACTATGCCGCGGAGGACAACACCACCGCTATCAACTTTCCCACTCTTCTAGAATATTTCGAGTTTGTCAAGGCGTACAGCGAAGGTGCGGTGGATTATCAGAACCTTTCTCCCAAGGATTTAAACGATTTCATGGCGAAGCACAACCTAGGGTGTTTGACGTCTAAGTTTGTGTGGACTATGTCTTCGCTATGTGTTGTGGGAGTCAAGCCCTGAGGCAGCGACACATCCATCAGGTACGCGTGCGTCACCCTATGCTTTTAGCTGGACTCGCACGCCCCTAACATTGGCCCAAAGAATACCATCTCCGACTTAGTCGCTTCATCATTGGGAGTTACTACACTTATTTCTTAAGCTAAAACATGCTATCCTTGAACACAAGTGTGGAATGTAACAATGCTAATATTCGTTGACGATTACATCACATTATCAGTGTTGCACTTGCTTCTACGATCACAGGAGAGTGCGGAAAAAACAGGTCCTGGAGTTCTCTTTCAACGTTAAAATACTAAGAAGGTAGGGTTTTACACGTGGCCCATTCGTTGTTTGAAATGATTGGTGTGAGTAATGGCTACCGAGGGTAGCAATGGTCGACTTTAGATCGGCTGCGCATGGAGGAGGGGACTTTGTTTTACATGTATATCTATTTGACATACGGCTGGCCAAAGCTAGCGCATGAGAAGTTCGGAAGGTCACGTTCGTTATCGTGTTTCAGTTTTGAGAAACTAAAGAGGACAGAGACTAAGTTACGTCATGTACATTCTAGTCTGAGAGCAACTCCATGTCGCACCAGTACAGCTACTTCCCAGGACGCACGGCATCTCATGCGTTGAGGGCCCTCGGATGTCGAGTGCCTTTCCTGCTTTAGGTAGGAATCACTACTACCAGTAGTACTACAATGACTATGTAACAGTCTTGCTCGTGTTGCAGTAACGTGCGCCATTAGTAGCTACAGTAGGGTACTTCAGTACGCATACCTTGCATACAACTATAATTCCATTTGCTGCTTGTTTTGATGTAAAATATCGGTCTGTATGGCCAATACCACTCGCACAGTACATGGCTAGACTGCATACATGGTGTTGGGGATGAGCCATGGGGAGGATGCAGAGGTATAAGTCCGCCTCTCTCCTACTCCTAGTGTAAAGACTACAGCTTGCTCGACTCAAACTCTACTGGGTGACGGTGACCTAGTGATGTGCGACATGGGGATTCTGCAGTCGAGTGTGCAACCGCTTGGTGCTCTATTCCGTCTCTTGTTTTAGAAGTGGCATTCTCAGAAATGGATTCTAGTTATTGCCCGTGAGCGTAGTGTTGCACCTTACTTTACCTTCCGTTGCTTGTGCATGTGTGGTGAGTATTCATAACAAGACACCGAGTTCAAAGGAGAGGAATTTTGTCTACATTGTTTTGCCAAGAACGTGCCTGTCACGAAGTCGTTAATCAACTTGAAACTTATAAGCACTTCACGCTCCCAGGTGGCACTGAACAGCGGAACCACTATGGCATCACTCCACTAATTGTCATCATGATCTGCCTGTTGTAGGATGTACAATGTCAATGATTACGTACATGTACGTGATGTACATGTATGTACATGTACATGTACATCACGTGATGTACATGTACATGTACGCGATGTGCTTGACTTGGCATCGTACGGGGAACACAAAGGAAGAACAAAACGATTTTTTGAAGATCTAGAATATCTTGTGAGAGGAAATACCTGAGACTCAGAGGATGGATTCAGAACTGGCGGAGTTGTATGACGAACATTCCAGCTTGCAGTACCACTATGGCCGACAGTTGTATCACAACCATATCTCCGTCGTGTCGGGACAGAGTATTCTTGATCTCGGCTGTGGCACAGGACGACTGGCAAGAGAGTTAGCATCCCGAGTGGGTGAAGATGGTAGTGTTATTGCCATAGATCCGAACTGTGAACGAATCCGTGTGGCAGAGCTAGAACTGCAGTGCGCCCCGGTTAAGTACAGGAACCTTCACTTCATCACGGGAGTTGTTACCGATGCAGCGAAGTACGGTCCTTTCGATTGGATTTTTGCCAATTTCGTCCTGCATTGGGTACCAGAGCAGGATCTCTGCGAAACAATGGCCAGTATTCATGAATGCTTGAAGCCCGGAGGTTCACTGTGTACCAACATATCGTTGACGACGGGTCAGTACGCGTCAGGAATTTCAATGATCGTCTATGGAAAGAGAGAAGAAGAAGTGATGGGTGTGAACTTGCGCTCCCTGGCTTACTGGAAAAATCAATGCTTAGAAGCCGGGTTGGATGTTGCTCACAGTCTTCAAGATGACAGAGCGCGAAATGTATTCACCAGTACAAGGGAGTATTTCGACTTCCTCAGAGCCTACACAGAAGGCGCACTGGATGTGGATGATCTCACGACCAGTCAACTTCAGACATATATGTCTGAGCATGACATTTCTAGCTTGGATGATCAGCTGGTGTTGAAGAGCAGCATGCTCAGTATTGTAGCAAAGAGAAAACAAGATGGAACACGTCGCTCTAGACGTGTGAAGAAATCCTACAATCACCTCAAGATCTTTCATCCGGAGCTCACGAGTGAAGTATTGAAAGGTCAACGGCGTAAGATGCAGAGATTCAACACCATAGACATGCCCAATGACCAGGTCGAAAAGGTCATAGTGGAAGGTGAGGTACAAATGGAAACTGATACAGAGGCACTGCAGCATACTGCGACACACAAGATGGCCGCCATCAACCGACGACTTCACAGATCTCTCACCTTAGCCATCCCTGAACAGGCTGAAGAATAGAGAGTGCGGGGCCGTTTACGACATGCACAGCCACTTGCGCAACTACGTGCACAACCACATTCACAACCACGTGTTGAATGTAGAAGGAAACTGAGTTCGCACTTAGCACAGCTCCATCAACAGTATAATAATATATTCAATTTGAAAATCTAGATACAATGTATAAGATTCCAAGCCTCTAACAGGTACTTCTCTGACTTTGTCTCTCTGTCTCTCTCGCTCTCTCTCTCTCTCTCTCTCTCTCTCTCTCTCTCGCGCTCTCTCTTTCTCTCTCTCTCTCTCTCTCCAAGAGGTGTCTGGATTAGCTCGACTTGGAAGGTGATATGCTGCATACACATTGTCAATGCATTGCCAACTTACACACGCAATCATCTACTTCGAGAACTGAAATAATAAGTGGAATTCTAAGAAAGTCTTAGTGCTCCAAACTCAGTACGGGATTGTTTGTGTTTGTATACATGTAAATGTATTATACATGCACACGGTACGTGTGTGTACCATCGCGTGTGTGTGTGTGTAGGGGGGGGAGTCAGTGCACCGATATTTGATGATACACTTGCGAGTTCTGCTACAACTAACTTAATTACAAGACCGAGTTGGCTGCAGATTACATCAGAGGTACGAGCGTGATTGTACATGTATTTGTGAGAATGACTGAGTGCTGACCATGCCTCAGACAGAAGTGTTGCCTCGTGATAGTCGCGGAATTCCCCCATGAGCCATTTACCCAATCTTTATTTTCTTTGTGGCTATAGTACTCTATCGCGCAAGCCATTAAAAACAAGTGAAGCGGTCGTAACTTCCTTCTAAGCTACGCGTGAAGTGGCAAGTGGGTGGTAGCATGTTGTGCAACGCCGCACAACCACTAATCCTGTGGAATGTACTTACAAACGTATACTGCGCTGGGCCATGGGGTTTGCACTGAATCGAGGGTTAATAATAATAGTGAGTGGCATTCTGAGTGCATTTTGTCTGTGTGTGTGTGTGTGTGTGTGCGTGTGCGTGTATGGTTGCTTGCGTGTGTGTGTGTATGTGTGTATGTGTCACTGTGTGTGTTTATGTGTGTGTGTGTGTTTATGTGTGTGTGTACTGTGTGTGTAGCGCTGTACCTTCTTCTGTTGTCTGTGTGGTGAATGTTATCACAACACGCGGAGTACACAGTGGAGAAAATATATTTGACCTTTTCGCCCGTTTTGCCCGTGCACCTATCAGCAGGTGACACTCGACTGTGCACATGTGCGCACTTCGCAGTTATGTCACTCTACTGCGTTTGGATGACCTCATCGTGTTCATTGCATGCTTGCTGGATATTGTACTGTATCATTAGAGAAGAACACGAAAAGGCATCAAGAACAGCTTATTTTCCAAGACAGACCTTGCAGAAAGGTGAACTGACAGTATGGATTCAGAACTGGCGGAGTTGTATGACGACCATTCCAGTGTTCAGTACCACTATGGCCGACAGTTGTATCACAACCATATCTCTGTCGTGTCGGGACAGAGTATTCTTGATCTCGCCTGTGGCACAGGACGACTGGCAAGAGAGTTAGCATCCCGAGTGGGTGCAGATGGTAGTGTCATTGCCGTAGATCAGAACTGTGAACGAATCCGTGTAGCAGAGCTAGAACTGCGATGCGCCCCGGTTAAGTACAGGAACCTTCGCTTCCTCACGGGAGATCTTACAGATGCAGTGAAGTTTGGTCCTTTCGATTGGATTTTTGCCAATTTCGTCCTGCATTGGGTACCAGAGCAGGATCTCTGCGAAACTATGGCCAGCATTCATGAATGCTTGAGGCCCGGAGGTTCACTGTGTGCCAACATATCGTTGAACACGGGTCAGTACGCGTCAGGTATCTCAATGATCGTCCATGGAAAGAGAGAAGAAGAAGTGACGGGTATGAATTTGCGGTCACTGGCTTACTGGAAAAATGAATGCTTAGAAGCCAGGCTGGAGGTTGTACATAATCTTCAAGATGACAGCGCGCTGGACGTGTTTCGTACTACAAGAGAGTATTTCGACTTCCTCAGAGCCTACACAGAAGGCGCACTGGATGTAGATGACCTCACGCCCAGTCAGCTGCAGAAGTACATGTCTGAGCATGACATTTCTAGCTTGGATGATGAGCTGATGCTGAAGGGCAGCATCCTCAGTATTGTAGCCAAGAAAAAACAAGATGGAAAACGTCGCTTGAAACGCGTGAAAAAATCCTACAATCACCTCAAGATCTTTCATCCACAGCTAACGAGTGAGGTGTTGAAAGGTCAACACCTCACTCGTCAAGGTAAGATGCAGAGATTCAACACCATATACATGCCCAATGACCTGGCGGAAAAGCTGATGACTAAAGGTGAGGTACAAAAGGACCCTGATACAGAGGCAGTGCACAATACTGCGACACACAAGATGGCTGACATCACCCAACGACTTCACAGATCTCTCACCTTATCCGTTCCTGAATAATAGAGAGTCCAGGGCAATTTATGACATGCACAAAAACGTGTTAGATCGCAAGAGATACTGGGTTAGCACTTCAAACAGTACCGTCAGCTATTTCGTAAATGCTTTTAAACCATTTGGTTCCAAATATGAACCAGATGGATCTGCAGAGGAATGCATTCTAGACGATGATTCCGTTACTTTCAGAGATATGAGTATCGGGTCCTCAACGCAAAAGCGCACTGTTTCAAGTTTATGATTATAACTGTGACTGATTGACTCTGTAATGTGCATGTACATGTAGCTGCTTTACTTTGGTAGTTCGCATCGCGGCATGGACATGCACGTATCCTAGTGGCGTGCCCACAAGGATCAAAGTAGTTGTGTAGATATACCATGCCTGCACCTGGTGTTTACCCGTCATTATTTCTCTTTCTCTCCCGGAGTGGTGTATTATGTACCCAGGCCTGATGTACCCGTACTTCTAGCTGACTGCTGGTATGCAGGAAAACACTTTGCATATATGTAGGACTCAGTGACCAGTCAAGTCCCCATGGCCAATCACGGTCCCCATGACCAGTCAAACAGTCACAAACCCCCATGACCAGTCACAAATTAGTTTACCAGTCACAATGCCCCGTGACCAGTCACAAGTCACCAATGTAAAATTCGCCATACATGCACATGTGTAAAGCACACAGTTCGTGACTGCTCGCGGAGTGCTTCGCACTGCAGGATTTGTTGTGGAAACTATAATTCCCTATGAGCGGTCACAAAATACAGTTGTGACCACTGTAATTCCATGCGAACAGTTACATGTGGAATGTACAGTTGCGACCACTCTTTCTCTGTGAGTAGCCACAGGCAGAATATGGGTATTTCTGTATTAATATTTTATCTCTTTTCAAACAACCCACAAGCCAAGAAGAGATGCGTAGACGGAAGAACCGTACTCTTGATGATACTGATCGCAAACATGATTAATTCCTCCAGGCCATTGAACACCCAATTCTAAACCTTATCTAGCCAAAGTCAAAGCAGCATGTCAGTTCAAGAACATCTCGTCAGACATACATATCGATACATGTCTGGTGCACTCTCACTAACACGCAGGCATAGCATGCTACATTTGCACCAGCAATCACAAGAAGTTGTGGTGAGTGAACATTTCTATCAAATTTATAAGTAGAAGGAAAATACGTAATGGACAAATGAAGGTGAGGAGGATCGCAAAAAACACTGACAAGGAGACAGTAAACGGTACACAGTATTCGTATGCATGGACAATTGCAAATATTATAACACAAGTTATAGCAGCATAACGAGAAAGACCATGTACCATCATATTACATCAATAAATTTCACAGAGTTATTTTGGGAGTAGGAATGAAGATGTGTTCGAAGCAGTAAACTGCGTAAGCACTACGTTGAGCCACAATATTGAAAAACAGTTTCCTGCAGTCAAAACAAGACACTCACACTTCTCTGGTGTAGTTCGCCATTCTTATCGCTATTAAACATGACTGGATTTAATTTCTTGGTTCTTTTATGGTTCTTGAGAATTGATCAATGATGTCTTGAATAGATTTCTTCCCTGGACGACTTCAACTGAGAGGCAGTTTCAGTTTCAACAAGCTGGACATTGTTTTTCTGGGGAGTCTTCCTCAAGAAATACAGGGCTACACACACGAAGGTGCTTGATGTACTCAGTACCTTCTTGGAGATGAACATACTTTCATTTCCATCTTCATTATATTTTCGTCTCTGTATCGTCGACGATGTCCACTTCTGACTCCGTAATCTTGTCACCCATCCTCTCCAAAAATACAAAGCGAGTGCTGCTTGTATGCTTGTATGCTGGATCAGTCTCCGTTCTAGATAGATCGGCATGCAAACAATTACTTGACTGAAAATATTCCAAAATAGCTTTTCTGAACGACGAAGTTTGTTCTTCAAATAATTATGATGAATAGCACAATCTACTAGCCAGAACGTCCTCTCGAAAGAGATTCTATCTGAGGCCTGCAAGATTTTCGACCACCCTTCGTTTTGGAGAGGAGCCTACACACACCAGACTCAAGCTACATACAAGTACAAGTAAACTACACGGAGATCGAAATTTGATCGAAATCGTTCTTGCTCACTTCTGAAACCTGTGGAGGAAAAATGTGCGCTGATCGCGTGAATGCCTACAGTTGAGTCGTAATATTTTGACGTGGATTCTGTGACTGTTCGCAGAGAAAGTCGCGGCTGTTTGTCATTGGTCATCGGGATTCAACTTGGTGTGTGACTTTATGACTGCTCTTCGGGGATTTGTGACTGTTTGATTGGTCACGGGGTGACGTGGATCAAGACGTGACTAGCCCTTTCCCAAAGCCGCAAAGGTGCTCTTTTAATTCGCACTTAGTGCTTTTCGCGTCCCTCAAAATATGCTGAAAAAGTGCTCATTTTTCAGTGAAAACAGGCAAAAAGTGCTCTTTTTTCAGTGAAGGATAGCCATGATACATGTTCAGATATGAACCCAAGCTGAGAAATGAATACGCGATCTTCCATTTATGGGTCCACGAAAGGCAAAACAGGAAGTAAAGTTCAAAAAACCCACTTTTTACAGCATTCTGTACACCGGGTACAAGCTTCACAAACTTGTTGCCCCCCCTCCCGAAAATGCGGCGTGCCAAGGCCCATCCACGCCACATCGAGCACTCCGAAACTGTGACCGCATGCATGAGCATGCCCAGATTTTAGCACTTTTTCAGCTAAAATGCTCAAAAAGGGCGATATTCACCAAAAAATGTAATAAAGGGCGAAAGAAACGGGCTTTCCCAAAAAGGGCCAAAAAGGGCCAAAAAGGGCGAAAAAAGGGCGAGCACCTTTGGGAAAGGGCTAGACGTGACTGCTCACTGAGTCCTGCATACGTACAGACTACAGTATGCGAAGTTCATACGTTTAGGCTCAAGAGGTAGGAGGCACCGGCGGCTTATGCCGGCATAATTATT